CCCTCCAGAATTCCCAGGTAACAACCTAATTTACATATGAATGACTAGCCAATTTAGCTTCCACTTGGCTGAAGCTATAGCCTAGCTAAAAGCCTACCAGCCATTTGGCTGGAAGGTGGGTTTTTAAAGGTAGAAAGGTAGAAGCCTGGCCGGCGGGTGTTTTAAAAACTGGAAAATGATACTAACTAGAGATGGACCGATCCGATGTTACGTATTGGTATCGGTCCGAAACTGACCTAAATTACCGGATCGGATATCGAAGAGAAATAAAAAATGTAATCCGATCCATTAAATAAGAACACTAGAGGATGTGTTTTTGTAGCTTAGCAATTTAAGCTAATTTAAGGAAGTTAGACTGAAATTTTAAAATATCATTTAAAAAAATAACTTTTGGAAAATGTGGATATAATCCATTCAACACAGTGAAAATGGCTTGAAATTTTTTTTAAAAATGGAAAGAAAAGAAAAAAAGAAAAGGCCACAAAATGGTGGAACACCACACGCTCTATTGTTTTTATTACATGTGATTAGTTATTTCCTATATGACACATCAAACAGTTTTTCAGCCTTGTTTGTATTCAAACACTGAGTGATGATGAGTCCAAGGGCCTGTGATTGACTGGGATCCATTTAAACAGGAGAACAGTCAATTAGTCTTTCTTTTTTTTTTCTTTTGCTTCACAAGGTACTTAGAAAGGTTCTTGTTTCCTAGCATTAGTTTTGTTTTGTTTTTTAAAGCAAATAATAAATCCAGTCACTCTGACCCTGCCTCCCCCTCCTTATTTCATTATTTGGTTTGGTCCAGGTGCTGCTAGTAGTGATGTGCGATACCACTGATTTCCTTTCCAATCCAATACCAAGTAAAATTCAGGGTGGTATCGACGATACTGATCCGATACCGATACTTTGTACAAAAATGTATTTTTTTTATTGTATCTTTTATTGTATCTCAAATTATAGCATCATAATGATTACAGGACATCAGATCACTTATTCTTATCACTTAATAATGCAGAATTCATGATATACAAATAAAAAGAAAAACTGAAGTTGTGCGCTATTTGAACACCTTGCCTGCCTGCAGCACTAAAGGACTCCGCAAGAGATGTCTGTCTCGCCCTAGCAGCACGTGTCCCTGTCCACTCCTCCTCTTCAGTTCGCCTCAACATACACTCGTCATATTCTGTGATATGATTTACTCTGAGGTGTTTGACAAGGTTAGTGCTGTTGCCATCAAACCTCACTTTTTTTGCCACATGTATCGCAAACCACGTCTCGGCTGTTTGTGGAGGTAAAAAACGTCCACACATGACTTCATGTACGCTCAGCCTTTGTTGTGAGTGCGCACGCCAAGGGGCTGCGACACATTTATACAGCTGTATTTCGCACATGACTATGGAAGGCGGAAGAGGATGTACGCTCAGCCATTGTTGTGAGTGCGCACGCCAAGGGGCTGCGAC